ATCACAAAAGGTCTCCTATAGAAACATCCGGAAGAGATATTCAGCGGAGCACAGTGTCCCAAAGTGCAGATATGTTCTGCACACTATGTCACCTACTTTTTGGGTTAGAGGTGGCGTACTAAATCAATAATAGAGTGTGATTTATAAAGGACATTGAACCCTACACCTTGGCGACTGTGGAGAGGATAAGAATGGGTAACTCTTGTATCTGCAGCTGTCTGTTGGTTTAGCTTTTTGAGGTGAGAATAAGCTAGAGCCGCACCTTCTACATCATTAACCATATCTGCACCTTCTACGTCATTAACCATATCTGCATATTCTGCACCTTCTACATCATTAAACCATATCTGCACCCTCTACGTCATTAACCATATCTGCACCTTCTACATCATTAACCATTTCTGCACCTTCTACGTCATTAACCATTTCTGCACCTTCTACGTCATTAACCATATCTGCACCTTCTACATCATTAACCGTATCTGCACCTTCTACGTCCTTAACCATATCTGCACTTTCTACGTCATTAACCATATCTGCACCTTCTACATCATTAACCATATCTGCACCTTCTACATCATTAACCATATCTCCACCTTCTACATCATTAACCGTATATGCACCTTCTACGTATTAAACCATATCTGCACCTTCTACATAATAAACCATATCTGCACCTTCTACATAATTAACCATATCTGCACCTTCTATGTCCTTAACCGTATCTTCTACATCTTTAACCATTTCTGCACCTTCTACCTCATTAACCGTATCTGCACCTTCTACCTCATTAACCGTATCTTCGACATCTATAACCATTTCTGCACCTTCTACATCATTAACCATTTCTGCACCCTCTACGTCATTAACCATATCTGCACCTTCTACGTCATCAACCGTATCTTCTACGCCATTAACTGCACCTTTTACGTCATTAACCGTATTTGTATTTATAAACTTGTTCAAATTCCGGTCCTCCCAGGGAATCGGACCGACCAACACGCCCTTGCAAACTCCTTGCTCTTGCTACCGATCTGCTAGGGACAAGCACTTGGACTCCAGCGTAGTTTGAGTCCCAGCTTGTTTACAGTAAACAGCTGGTGTTTGGTTTGGGAAGCATGACCCCTCCGACATTCCTAGAGAGCGCTCCGGGTAGCAGGATAGTAGCAGGAAAATAAGAGCGTCTGACCCGATGAGCCGACGGAGGCTCAACTCACCGCGCTCTCTGTTAGTGTTAATACACGGCTTTATCGGTCCAAACACCATGAACTCGCCCGCCGGGTGTCACGACGCCCCGGTTAGTTGCTGTCAAGCCTTTGTGTCGTCTCATCGGTAATTTCAGTAACTCACATGATCCCTTGCCTTGTGTGTGGTGTGCCTGTGTGTGTGTGTGTGTGTGTTGTCTAGAAGGGAATGTGTGCCCTGTGAGAGCGGTTTAACCTTTGACCCTTCTGTCATGAGTCTAATGGGGGGAAGCACAGACATGTCTGTACTAGATAGATAGATTGGAGGAGTTGGTATCTCAGTGGTAGAGTGTATCTGTATGTATGATGTCCTGGGTTCCTATTGGAGGAGTTGGTATCTCAGTGGTAGAGTGTATCTGTATGTATGATGTCCTGGGTTCCTATTGGAGGAGTTGGTATCTCAGTGGTAGAGTGTATCTGTATGTATGATGTCCTGGGTTCCTATTGGAGGAGTTGGTATCTCAATGGTAGAGTGTATCTGTATGTATGATGTCCTGGGTTCCTATTGGAGGAGTTGGTATCTCAGTGGTAGAGTGTATCTGTATGTATGATGTCCTGGGTTCCTATTGGAGGAGTTGGTATCTCAGTGGTAGAGTGTATCTGTATGTATGATGTCCTGGGTTCCTATTGGAGGAGTTGGTATCTCAGTGGTAGAGTGTATCTGTATGTATGATGTCCTGGGTTCCTATTGGAGGAGTTGGTATCTCAGTGGTAGAGTGTATCTGTATGTATGATGTCCTGGGTTCCTATTGGAGGAGTTGGTATCTCAGTGGTAGAGTGTATCTGTATGTATGATGTCCTGGGTTCCTATTGGAGGAGTTGGTATCTCAGTGGTAGAGTGTATCTGTATGTATGATGTACTGGGTTCCTATTGGAGGAGTTGGTATCTCAGTGGTAGAGTGCATGTTCTGTATGTATGATGTCCTGGGTTCCTATTGGAGGAGGTGGTATCTCAGTGGTAGAGTGTATCTGTATGTATGATGTACTGGGTTTCTATTGGAGGAGGTGGTAGCTCAGTGGTAGAGTGTATCTGTATGTATGATGTACTGGGTTCCTATTGGAGGAGGTGGTAGCTCAGTGGTAGAGTGTATCTGTATGTATGATGTACTGGGTTTCTATTGGAGGAGGTGGTAGCTCAGTGGTAGAGTGTATCTGTATGTATGATGTACTGGGTTCCTATTGGAGGAGGTGGTAGCTCAGTGGTAGAGTGTATCTGTATGTATGATGTCCTGGGTTCAATCCCCAGCTTCTCTCCAGAACGCTTTTGCAAATGAGAAATTGTTCCTGGTTATACAAGGTAAAATAAAGGTTAAGTAAAAATAAAATTTCATTGGTTGTAACTTGCACTCGTTAAGAAAAACATTGGCTAATTAAAAACGGAGGTCACAAGATCTGATCACGAGAAATAAAAGCTTTAGAATTTCATTCATTCACTCCACAAATATTCAGTAACAATGTTTGTCTGCGTTCCACTGCTAATACCACTACTACTACCAATACTACTACTACTACTACCAATACTACTACTACTAATACCACTACTACTACTACTACTACTACTACTACTACTACTACTACTACCACTACTACTACCACAAGTACTACCACCACTACTACTTGTAACACTGCGGGTGGGATGTGTTACCTTCTTACACTTAACCAGAGCTTACTGTTATTAGATAGAGCTGCTGTGGCTGTGTGTGTCTTAGAGGAATAACCCAAGTGTGTGATTGTGTGTACTGGGGTGTTATTGCAGTATGTAGTGAGTCTACACAAGCCTCACACATTCTTAAGGTTTAACTACTTTGGTTGAAATATATATATATATTTTGAGTTTAAACTGAATGAACAATTAAATTAGAGATCTTTTGTGTGCGTTGTCACAGCCCAGGGTTAACACTTAACACAGTCTCACTGCAACTGCGGCTACTAGTAGTTTCTAAAGTGCAAGAACTTCAAAATATTTCTTTGACAAGAATGTACTAAACGTCAGAGTACCAAGATGCTCTTAGGCCTAGCTTACAAGCTAAAGTGTCAGACCCCAGCAGATTCCTCAAAGTTCATGTTCGGTGTGTTGTTTGTCAGGCGTGTACATGAGAAGGAACAAGGGGCCCATGTTTTAGTTAACACTGTGACCACATTAGTCACAGTTGTGGTAAGTTGTGTTCCACACGGGGTGTTCGATGGGGAGCACTTCCTGTGTCCTGTGAATTGTTTTGAATTGGAGCACAGCTGTTTGGTGTTAGCTTATCACCAGGGCATCGTTAGTAATTAGCAGTGGGTTATTTAAGTTCGCTGTTTAGTGTCACGGGTTGTCGGATGTTGTTTCAAGTCACGTTGTTGTATGTTCTGCATTGTGCTAGATGTTTGATAGCAAGGTGCTTAATATCGCAGTTCTATTTAATGCAGTGTATGTTTTTTCGGGCGATAAAGTTTTTGTGTTTTTTAAATTAAACCCATTGAATGCGCTATTGCTCTGTGGCTGGTTCCCTGTGCACTACGCCCTAAAAGCATGACAACGTTCATAAGTTAGCCGTTGTTCCTTCAGATTTGGATCTTTCGAGAAAAAAACATTGCCGTTTCAGTTTGCTCCACTCAGAGTACGATAGAATCTAGTGAGCAAATACGTTAACGCTCTTCGATGTAACGTCTTTCACAAGTACATGTTTTTGTGCCAGACTCGACAACAATATTAATCGCACTCAGTCTTCAGAGATGTATTTTGAATAACAACAGCAGCGAGGAATTACCTGATTCATTTGGTTTTCCCGTTCTGTTGGTTACCTCCGGGTCATGAATAACAATTAAGATCATTACCAATACATACCCTTCGCCCACCCAAAACAATATAATATATAATAACATATATAAGGTCACGTTTATTAGGTATTTTAGATCACCGCCTTGATTGGTTCCAAACCAGAGTCATGTGACCCCTGATTCTAGAGTTTTCCGGGCTGAATGGGTTCTAGGTGGTACATTTATGATGCTGCACTCTTATTAAGGGGGTCTGAAGGCCTCCCCAACCAAACCCCCCGGAATGTTCCTTTGCTGCTGTACGGGTTCCCCTCCCCCTGTTTCATTTATCGCCAGCGCTATATGATGCTGTCAGGTTTCAATGGAACGCGTTGGACACGGGAAGACGCGCGACTCTCGTTTACAAACGTGTTCGCCTTCAACGGTGATATTCTTCTCTGTTTATTAACGGTGATATTCTTCTCGCCTTTCCTGTTCCTCAACCGCCGCCGCCAGAGGTGTTTGGATGAAACACTCAGATCCCCGTCGACCACCTTTTGTTTGGCAGGTGCCGTCACGCCACGTTCACGGCGGGTATTTTCTGTTTGGTCTGTCACGGCCCGGAACCGACGGGTAAATCTGATCGAATTCTGCACGTACCTGTGCGTCCTCCGTGTCCGACCATGGCAACGTGCAGAACGCCGGGATTTGGCCTCTTACCTGCTTTCAAAACGGACACATTGTTAGAAGTTGTTTTCTTGTGAACGGGTTTGTGAAGGAGTTTTTTATTTTCACTTTCACTTCGAGGCACGCTTTGTACGCTTGCCTCAATAGACTTTTATTCGCTTGTTCTCATTTGAAGTTTTTCTCACCAAGCAGGCAGTAAACCCACTCTGCTCGTCCGCCCAGTTGTGTTCGGTAGTCTGGTTTATCTGTGTCTGCTTTCTGTGGTCGTTATAATGGCAACAGCATATTGTCCACTAGCACGGAAGTCCCTGTGGAGAATTCTACACATCTATCAGTCCCACATGGTTGCATTGGACAGAAGTTCAGATCAGTCAGTTAGCCTGTAGTGGCTCTGCGTTCTGTACTGAGTCACACTATCCCGACCCATTTAACACTCTGCTGTTGTGTCCTCTCTCGTCCAGTCCTCTGCCACTTGTCTCATTCGCTCACTGCTAATTCGGAGGTGCAGTTAATTGGAGAAGAATCAATTAATTAGCGTCTCCTATTCAGATTCCGTTATGTGCTCTCCTGGCCTCCTTATTGTCGCCGCTTCCCTGTGAAGAACGCCCGAGCTAACGGGGGGAATTGGAAACGATTTAATTACGCTTAACAGTTCCCCTACTCTCCTCCTCCTCTTGCCCTCCTCCCCCTCTCCTCCTCTTCTCCTCCCACCTTCGCCGCGTCTCTAATTGTAATTGACTCGGTCCTCGTTAAGACTTTTGTTCGGCACCCCTGCCCGAGCCTCTGCCACTTGACTGAAGGCAGCTGAGGGAGAAAGGTGTGTGTGTGTGTGAGGGAGAGAGGTGTGTGTGTGAGGGAGAAAGGTGTGTGTGTGAGGGAGAGAGGTGTGTGTGTGTGTGAGGGAGAGAGGTGTGTGTGTGTGTGTGAGGGAGAGAGGTGTGTGTGTGTGAGGGAGAGAGGTGTGTGTGTGTGAGGGAGAGAGGTGTGTGTGAGGGAACGGCGCGATTAAAAGAAATTAAAAGAAAAACTGTGTTAAAGAAACAAAAAACATTCCATCCATTCTTTCACTCCCTTGCTCTTCTGAGCAGCTAATTTCTCTCTTCAGAGACGATTTAGCGAAAGATGCTAATCCGCTTGTTTAGTATGATCCCCTGTCACCGTGATGTGGATGATAATAGATGATAATACTATTAATACTACTACTACTGATACTACTGATACTACTACTGATACTACTACTACTACTAATGCTACTACTAATACTACTACTTCTACTTGGGGGGTTCTGCTGAGGAATTTGAGCCTAAATCGGCCTTTAAATTGTAGGGTAAAATGTGTGTGAAATTTGGTAGATTTTCCACAGAGACCTTTTCATCTAACTCTGTCTATCCTTTACAACCCTTTTCTCTCTCTTTTTCATCTTTTCTCTCTCTCTCTCTCTCTCTCTCTCTCTCTTTCCACCCCACTTGCCTCACCCGTTTGATGTTCAGGGCTGATTTGTCAGCCAATCAGAATGGATGACCTAGTTCTCCCTTTCCTGCAGCTGAGGAGCAGTCAGTGTGTAGGATAAGAGCAGTCAGGGTGTAGGATAAGAGCAGTCAGGGTGTAGGATAAGGGCAGTCAGGGTGTAGGATAAGAGCAGTCAGGGTGTAGGATAAGGGCAGTCAGTGTGTAGGATAAGAGCAGTCAGGCTGTAGGATAAGGGCAGTCAGTGTGTAGGATAAGAGCAGTCAGGGTGTAGGATAAGAGCAGTCAGGGTGTAGGATAAGAGCAGTCAGGGTGTAGGATAAGAGCAGTCAGGGTGTAGGATAAGAGCAGTCAGGGTGTAGGATAAGAGCAGTCAGGGTGTAGGATAAGGGCAGGATAAGAGCAGTCAGGGTGTAGGATAAGGGCAGTCAGGGTGTAGGATAAGGCAGTCAGGGTGTAGGATAAGAGCAGTCAGGGTGTAGGATAAGAGCAGTCAGGGTGTAGGATAAGAGCAGTCAGGGTGTAGGATAAGAGCAGTCAGGGTGTAGGATAAGAGCAGTCAGGGTGTAGGATAAGAGCAGTCAGGGTGTAGGATAAGAGCAGTCAGGGTGTAGGATAAGAGCAGTCAGGGTGTAGGATAAGAGCAGTCAGGGTGTAGGATAAGAGCAGTCAGGGTGTAGGATAAGAGCAGGGTGTAGGATAAGAGCAGTCAGGGTGTGGATAGGAGTCAGGGTGTAGGATAAGCAGTCAGGGTGTAGGATAAGGAGCAGTCAGGGTGTAGGATAAGATAAGCAGTCAGGGTGTAGGATAAGAGCAGTCAGGGTGTAGGATAAGAGCAGTCAGGGTGTCAGGATAAGAGCAGTCAGGGTGTAGGATAAGAGCAGTCAGGGTGTAGGATAAGAGTCAGTCAGGGCTGTAGGATAAGAGCAGTCAGGGTGTAGGATAAGAGCAGTCAGTCAGGATAAGGGCAGTCAGTGTGTAGGATAAGAGCAGTCAGGCTGTAGGATAATGGCAGTCAGTGTGTAGGATAAGAGCAGTCAGGTGTAGGATAAGAGCAGTCAGGCTGTAGGATAAGGGCAGTCAGTGTGTAGGTCAGTGTAGGATAAGAGCAGTCAGGGTCAGGGTGTAGGATAAGAAGTCAGGGTGTAGGATAAGAGCAGTCAGGGTGTAGGATAAGAGCAGTCAGGGTGTAGGATAAGAGCAGTCAGGGTGTAGGATAAGAGCAGTCAGGGTGTAGGATAAGAGCAGTCAGGGTGTAGGATAAGAGCAGTCAGGGTGTAGGATAAGAGCAGTCAGGGTGTAGGATAAGGGCAGTCAGGGTGTAGGATAAGGGCAGTCAGTGTGTAGGATAAGAGCAGTCAGGGTG